TCTAAGAGTCTTGGCTTTTCTACTATGCCAGGCTCCCCAGCACCCAGAGATCTCTTCCTAGACCATGGCCTGCCTGGAAAAGCATGTTTGGAATGCATCTGTTAGAATAGTCTAGAACACTCCCATGCTCCTCATAACTAAGCCAAAGCATTTTCCTCCACCCATTTGGGACAGTGGAGAGGCCAAATGGACTAGGTCTGAATCCCGACTCTCGCTTCTTCGCCCTTACACCCACCCATCTACTAAGGGCCTGAGCATGCTAACTTCTCAGTTTGTAGCCATGTGTGATGGTGCATGCCTGTAATTCCCCGAGGCAGAAGTAGGAGGATCATGTGTTCAAGGCCATCCTTGGCAACATAACACATTAGAGGCCAGCGTGGTTTATGTGAGAGTGTCTCAAAAATAAAGAGGGCCAGTGAGGCGGCTCAGTGGGTAGTTACTTGCTGACAACTTGAGTCTGGGACCCAAATGGGAGAAGAGGAAAACCAACTCTTCCAAGTTGTCCTCTGACTACCACAGCTGCAAGGTGGTGCACATGTATGCAGACAGGAAATAAATAATGTAGTCGTTAAAAACTAAAAATAAATACAAATGAAATCGTAGCTTGTTTAGAGATTAAAATCCTCCCCACTTCTGTATCCTAAGTGTTTTTTTCTAAGTCCCCTCTTTTGCTTGAGTTCTCTGGCACCTGGCTACAGTGACATTTCCCCTGCTTTCCCTGTTTTCTACTTGCTTGTCCCCCACTCAGGTCCCTAAAAATGGAGGGTTTGCACTGGCCCAGGTGGGTTTTAGAAACCCCTATCTGACTGGCTCACCTTTCTCCGGCAGTATCTCCCATGTAACAAAGGTCCCTCCCACCATCCTAGACAGAGAAATGGGGCTCTGGCAAGGGAGGGGCCCAGACTCTCACTAACTGGATTTGAATCAGGCACAGTGTGTGGTGACCCAGTGTTCAAAATGAGCTAAGTTCCAGGCCAGTCCCATCCTGTAGTTCTCATTCCTAGCAGAATTCCTTCCAGGGCACAGAAGTGGGGACCCGCAGGAAGTAAGAGTCAGAGGTGGGTACTGGGACCACGTGGAGCTGGGGTGGCAGATGGCTAAAATGGCCAGTCCAGGTTTTCTCAGGAGCACTCAGTGCTGGACAGCTCCCCAATACTAGCTCCAGACACACAGGCCCTGCCCTCACTTTGAGGGGTGGGGGCAGCTGCAGAGCAGAAGTAGTCCTTCTCCAGCTCTGGGTCGGGCTCAGCAGTCCTCTTCCCCTTCCGGGGTTGCATGCTTCAATTGGGCCCTGACCTAGCCCCCACCAAACTTGCAAGGTGTGCCCTCGCCTGCCATTCAGTTTATTCCTGTGTGTGTCATGTATATGTGTGTGTGTGTGTGTGTGTCCTCTCATGTACATCTCTGTGTGTGCATGTGCATCTGTGTGTCAAAGGTTGACATCAGATGTCTTCCTCAGTCTAACTCATTTTTTGAGAGAGGGTCTTGAAGCCCTAGGGATCATCCATCCTGTCTGCCCTTATCCAGATCTGGGATTGCAGGCATGTATAACCAAGCATGGGTTCTGGGGTGGATGTGACTCGGCTCCTCAAACCTGTGTCAAGCACTCTAACACCTGAGCCATCTCCCTAGTTGAGTGATTCTTGAGACCTCTCTCCTGTGACCCCAGTTTTGAGCAAAACAGAACTCTGGGTGCTGCCTGTGCTTTGCTCTGGTCTCCTCTGACACTGGGTACCCAGCCTGGCACCATCCCACCCCACCAGCTGGTAAGCCTGCAGTCTAAATGGAATGGGAGAGCCTCCTCTTCTCCTGGGCTACCTCTACCCTTGCCTATTATAACACCTGTGGTTTGTGACCCGTTTCCTCCATCAGACCATGACTTCGGAGGACTTGTCCCCTATCCTCAAAGGGTTACAAGCATCTGCAGAATGCAGCCCCAACCTACTTCACTCAGAGAAAGGAAAGAGAATCCTCCCACATACCATGCCCTGCTCACTGTGCCCAAAGAGGTGTGGGCTTGAGTTCGTGTTGAGGGCACACATGTTGTCCCTGGGGACAGACATGGTCATAAAAAGAGACTTTACTAGAAGCAGGGACTATGGCAGCCCCTTGTGACCCCACATGGACAGTCAAAGATAGACAATGAGGCAGGCTCTCAGACTAACCAAATCCCATGGGGACTGCAGTCTGGAAGCTCACAGCACCTGAAACTCCTCCCACATACTTTACCAGGGTGCAGGGGACAGTGCAAGAAATAAGAATCAGATTTGGGCCTGGCAATGCACACCTGTGATTCCAGCATTTAGGAACTGGAGACAAGAGAATCAGGAGTTCAAGGCCAGCTTTGGCAAGTAAGATGGTGAGATGGAGGCCATCCTGGTTTGCATGAGACTCTGTCTCCAAACAGAACAAGGGCGCCAGGTGGTGGTGGCTCACACCTTTCATCCCAACACTCAGAAGGCAGAAGCAGGCTGACCTGAGTTCAAGGCCAGCCTATAGAGTGAGTTCTAGTGCAGTCAGGGTTACACAGAGAAACCTTGTCTCAAAACAAAAACCGAAACAAACCAAAACAAAGAACCAAGAGCTATCAAAATGACTTGGTAGGTAAAAGCACTTGCTGCCAAGCTTGGTGACCCCACTTATTCCCAGGACCCGATTGGTGGAAGGAGAGTACTGACTCCCAAAGTTGTCTTCTGTCTCTCAGTGGGAATCCCTTCCCCCCACAAATATGTGCAATAAAAATTTTAAAACAAAAAAGAAAAGCAAAGCCAAACTCGTGCCAGAGAGAAGTGGCTTGGAGGTCTCTGTCTTGTGGGTTGGGTTACTTTGGGCAAATCATTTCACTTCCTCTAAATTTACTTTGTGACAATGCTCAGAACCTGGCATGGGTCAGCTGAGACCAAAGGCTTAGCCCCAGGAGGCCCAGTCTCCACTGGCTGGATGTCTCTGCCTTCAGTGTTGGGGGGGTGGGGTGTCCTAAGTGTGTGTGTGTGTGTGTGTGTGTGTGTGTGTGTGTGTGTGTGTGTGTTCCAAATCCCCCTTGGGGACTCCTAGTAAGTAGGTAAGAGGGACCTTGGAGAGTCATTTTTGTTTTTGTTTTCACAATTGGGGGAGGGAAGAAGAGTGTGTGCATTAACTCTCTGCTCCCCAGAACTGTTCAATTATCAAGCATCCACAGTCCTCACCACCAACATCCACACCTTCCAGGGTAGGAGAGTAGGTTGCTTACAGGGACTAAGAGGGAGAGGGGTAGAAGCAAGCAGCAGGTAGGAAACTCTACCCCTGGGCCCCTGTCCCCATCAAACCAATCCTGCCTCAAAAACCCCACATAAAGGTGGGAGAGACCCAAGTCCACAGGGTTGTCCTCTGATCTTCACATGTGTACGGAGGCACGTGTGCCCACACCCATCACATACAAACAACAATAATAAATATAATTTAAGAATCAACAAATTACAGGTAGATCTTTGTGAGTTCAAGGCCAACCTGGTCTACATAGAGAGTTCCAGGCCAGCCAGGGCTGCATAGTGAGACTGTCTCAAACAACAAACAAACAAAACCATGAGACCTCACACTAACTTAACGGGATTTTGTAAGATTTTTTTTTTAAAGATCTTGAAAGCCAAACGAGATACACTGAAGATGAGACAATGTAAGGTCTTCTGATTCCCCCCCCACACACACACACACCATAGCCTCCTGGGGAAAACACTTATCTTGGCTGCTACCCAAGTAGGAGGGCTGCTCCCTGCATGGGACAATTCCAGCAGACCCCCCCCCCCAGCAGAAATACCATTTTGTTTGGCACACAAGATAATTCAGCTCAAGGGGGCAGAGATCAGGTTGACAAGATGGCTCAGCGGGTAATGGCACTTGCTGCCAAGCCTGAGGACTGAGTTTGGTCCCTAGAACCTATATGTATAGAGAAAGAACTGACTCTTGCAAGTTGTCCTCTGATGTACACACACACACACACACACACACACACACACACACACACACACACACACTTTAAAATTTTTACAAAGGGGCAGAAATGAAGTTCAACACGCCCTGACAGCCCCCCCCCCATCACCTCGGGTGAACAAGACTCTGGCTTATTCATATTCACAGCCTCTTTCGGGGCTACCGCGACGCTCTCGTCTGCAGACTTCTCACTCTTAGAACCCCACAGCGGGAACTACGTGAGAGTGGAGGGGTAGGAAAGCCCTGGCGGGTCGCAGTCCTAGCCTGTCTTGGGCCCCTCGGCTGTGGCGCGGATCCGACGCGCGCAGCTCTCAGGTTCATCAATGGCCTAGGCCGAAGGGGCTGAATGGAGGGCACTAACCCGCCCCTTCTTAAAGGCGCCGGCCTGTCACCCTAGGCGATCCTCCCTTCAAATCCAGGGCTGCTCCAGAGTGGGCGGGTCACGAATGGTGGCCGTGGGAAAGGGGCCCTGGGCCAGAAGGAGGGCTTCCCCATGGGGTAACTGTGGTCCCGATAGGGTCCCCCCCAGACCCCAGCGTATAGCCATCATCCTTCTTCGGGGTTGATCCATCTCCTCCCAGACCCGGGAAGAGACCTGGGCGTCCCCTCCCCCAGCCTCAGATCCCTTCCTGTAGGGGACCAGCTGCGCTCGTCCTTCCAACCGGCCAGTGTTTGAGGAGGGGACCGGGGCTCAGCTGCTATGAAGGTAGCTGCTTTCCCCCCACCCCCCGCCCCAGCTTCCCATCACTCTCCACCTCGCCTGGGCTTTGGGTCCCCATCCTATCCCAGCGGGGGCTCATCCCCTCTGTCGCGCGTCCTCCTCCCTCCCACCGGTGCACACAAAGACGACACGCTCGGACCCGGGCGCGTGCGGCCCCGGGGTGGCGGTGAGCACACAACACACACACACACACACACACACACACACACACACACACACACACACGCCCGCTCGCCTGCCTTCAGGGACAGCCGAGCACCCGGGTGGGGTAAGGAACCTCGGGGACAGGGAGCTAAGGACAAGCAGGCCGTACCTACAGGCGCGCAGCTTCGGCCGCGCGGGCGGAGGAGCGCTGCCCGGACCGCGGCCGGGATCCTGGGAACCGGCGGCGCATAGCCCTCCGGGCAGGAGTTCGGCCCTTGGTGGCCGGTGGTGGCTGCGGCGGCGGTGGCACCCGTTTCTCTGGCCTGCAGCCTGCAGGGCTCGTGCGCTCTTGGCGGTCCCGGCGCAGCCCCCTTGAGGCTGTCTCCCTTTTCGGGCTCCCGAGCTCGGCGCGCTCTGAGTCCAGACTCGCGCGCCGCGCGCCCCTGCTGCTCCCCCCTCCGCGCCCCCGGCCCTCCTCCCAGCCCAAGCAGCGCGCGCCTCCGGGCCCCGCCCCACCACTAGTCCCGCCTCAACACGCCCACCCTCCCTGCTCAGGTCCCGCCCTTGCCGCACCCCCCGCCCACGAGGTGCGAGCCTCTAGCCACGCCCCCTGTTCCCCCCTCTCCGCCCCCGCGCCCTCTCCGGAGCCCCAGTGGCGCCGGCCAACCCCTCTGTCTTCCTCCGGACCCGGGTGCCCAGGTCTCGTGGCCAGCCCTAGGAATCCCTCCCACGCTGGGGCGTCTCCCAGAACCTGGGGTGGTGGGCCCCAAGGGCAGGATTGGAAGGTGTTTTGCGTGGTGGGTCACTCCTGGAAACGTCCCTGGGTTATGAGAGTCAGACAGGGGCGGGCGCTATAGGCCAACCCTCCACCGCGAGGACAATGGGAGCCTCGGGGAGGTCCAGATGTCGCAACCTAGGAAATGTCTGTCTGGATCTCAGGAATCCAGAGGTCCAGAGCCACGCCCCCTGCCTCCTTCGGGTCTCCCGGGTGCGGGAAATCGCCCGGGATTTCACGGCCTGGAACGGCACTTAACACACAGGTCCTCGCTTTCCAACTTTACTCTGGGGTCGGGGAAGCTGGCCCCACCAGGTGACTTATCTGAGGTTGCCAGGACTAGGAGAAGTTCTCACTCTGGGTTGACTAAGAACCAGAACTAAGCATTACTGGCCCGACTCCTGTGGTGGCGCTCGGGAGCCTCCAGAGGGGCTAGGAGACCAGAGGAGAAGCAGTGAGTGTCTCTGTGAACAGGCTTGGAAGGAGCCAGATGGGTTGGCATATGCTGGGGAAGGTGAGGCAGGAGGGAATACCAGTTCGAGGTCGGCCTGTGCTACGTAGACCCTGTCTGGAAAAGTTCAAATAAAAAAGAAACAAAAACTCACAGGTGTGTTAGGGTGCTCAGAGATGAGACCTATGGTTTGCTTCCACATTGGGCATGATCCGGTCTCTCCTTCTGGCTCTCCGCTCCAGGCATCACTGGTTAGCTCCCTATGTTGACCTCCAGCTGTGATCTCCCGGGAATGTCTCTCTGTCTGCTGCCCTCCCACTCGCAGTGGCCTCTGACCTTTGTAAAGTCCTTTCACTCACAGGAAATCAGAGTCACTGATTACTTCTCTAGAAGAATCAGGGGTGGCATGGGGTGGGGGTGACACTGGAGAGGTGGGGTGTGCCCAGAACAGGGAACCTGGCTTGCTTGAACCTCTCATCAGTCGCCTGGAGCCCTTGGTGCTATCTTCCACAGGAATGGGGCCACAGAAACCAACCAGACCTCTGTTGAGGCCGGGGTACCTGTCCCTTCGATGTTACACATGGACCAGAAGCTGCTCTGTCTCTAGACCTGACCAGCCAACACTTAATGAAGGCTTAGGCTCTAATCCAGCCATCGATTGGACTTGTACACAGGTCCAGTTGCCTGGCTGGGAACCAGGAGGCCTATGAATGAAGTCAGGAAGGGTGGGATGGAGGTGGGAGAGAAACTGTATCCCTGGGTGGTGTGGCTATGGAACCCCCTGTCCGGGGAGAGGGGGAGAGGGGGAGAGGGGATGCTGAAGCATGAAAGAGAACCCACCTGCTTCTAAGTTGTGGCTTGAATTTGATGGTGGGCTGTCAGTGACTGGAGAGGATTCTGGGATGGGAAACAAGACATGGGTTCTGATTCTCCAAAAGAGGAAATGAGAAGCGAGTGTGACCCACATGAGGAACCGACATGAGACCTAGAAGTTGGAGGTGGGGGTAGGCAGTGGCGGTGATTAGTTCAGAGCAGCTGTCCTGGAGATTGGAATGAGGGTCGGGGTGACAGGTGCATCCTGGTTCCCTGGGGGTGAAGGCTTTGGGTCTTTGAGGATCAGATAGGACAGGTGACAAGGGGGTGCTGGTGGGGTCCTGGAGGAGGGGCCTCCCTAGATGCAGAGGCCACAGAGAGCTCAGGGACAGACCTGACAGGGAGGTAGCCCAGCAAGTCTTGGCTTTGCTAGCAGGACTGCTGAAAGCTGGCTCTCAGAGCCCTGCAGGGTGATGGCTTTGGTGCACTGGGCAAGCAGGGGCCCAAGAGGAAGAGGCTTCATACATGGCTCTGGGGCACACAGAAATAGAAGCAGGGGCTCCCCAGGAACTGACAGGGAGGTGACAGGAGCCCACTGGGACATGTCAGGCCCTTGGCCATGGCTGGTCTGACTGAGTACTCCATGACGTGTGGTTTTTATGAGACACTGTTGCTGTTGTAGTTCGGGCTGGCAGGCCATGGAGTAATGGTTCTTTTACTCCAGCATCCTGACTGCTGGGAATATGTATGTATGTATGTATGTATGTATGTATGTATGTATGTATGAGGTGTTATTTTTCTTTTGGGGTGGGATTGAACTCAGGGCCTTGTGCATGCTACCTAACACTCTACCAATGAGCATGGCCCCCAGGCCTTCATTGGAAGGATTCTAGACAGGTGCTCTGCTACTGAACCATGCCCATAGCCCCTCACTGGGGATTCTAGGAAGATTGTAACACAGATCCAACAGGTTGTTTGGGAATAAAAGAATAAATTTCAGGTTTGGGTAGGACTATATTCAACAGACTTGGACACTCTGGTCTGGGTTCCAACAAAACTCTGACCATATTCATAGCATTTTCGGGGACAGGAAAAATGGGAGAGATCCTATTTCCATGCTGGGTAAGCTCCAGGGGACGGGGCTGCAGGCATCCACCCGTCAGTCTCTCGACACCCACCAGTGTCTAGCTGAGCAGGCACAGAATACAAGGCCCCACTGTGACTGCAATGAGTCTTTATTTCAAACATGCAAAGCTGAAGAAAAAGATCAAACCCAGCTGAGGAAGATCTGCCTGTGGCCCTCAGAGGTGGCCTTGCTCTGGTGACCCAGGACTAGTTTTGCTGGGGCCTCTCAGACTGAGGTCTGAAGTGCCCGAGGCATAGAGGCCTTGTTGGAGAGACTTCCTCTTCTAGAAACCAGAATATTGGCTAAAGAAGCAAGCAGAACTCAAATCATGGACTGGGCGCAGGGAAGGGGTGGTGGAAACCATCCTGCCCTCTGTGGGGCTTCCTGTCTTGGTGACGGCAGTGAGGTCATGTCAGCCCTCTGCCCCCCCTTCCCCCAGAACAGGGCATATGGAAAGCCTGCTGGCCCACAAGAGTTTCCCACTTATTTTGGGGTATATGTGTGGGGGGGTCCTGGGGGAGCCTATAGGAATGCCAGAAAGGGTGGTGACAATCTGTATCACAGTCAGGAAACTCTGCCACCAGGGCTAGAGCTTCTGATGCGGGTGGAGCCTACACCATGTGACTAGGCTGAGGACAGCGGAGCCTCAGAGGCCCCAGCCTAGCTGGGTGCTAGTGGTTGTTTGGTCCTGGGGCTCCAATGGGGCCCCGATACCCTCCGAAAGGGGCTCTGGGGCATCTAGCAGCTGTTGGCTGAGGACAGAGACAGTTTCCGTGGGGGATCTTTTTTTTGGGGGGGGAAGGCTATGTCATTAGAAGCAGGTGATCAAGCAGGGGTGGGGGCTGCAGCCCACACTTCTGGGGTGAGCCTGGGTGTCACTGCCATAAGTCACCAGCTGCTGCCCCGTTGTCGCTCTCGTGGAATTTGTGCAGATGATCGGCAAACCTGAGGGAACAGGAACCGAGCAGAGACTGAGTATAGAAGATGGGTGAGCACAGAGTTAGGCACACTGGGAGGGGAGCTGGGCTGGAGGGCTGTGGGGGCTTGGCTCTGTGTTTGGGGAGGACCAGGGGACATCCTTACTTCTTGGCGCAGGTGGCAGCACAGTCTCTCTCCACGCTTTCGCTCCATGCCAGCTTGTACAGCACCTGGTCAGGTGGAGACACCATGAGCTATCTGCCCTGCCTCATGACAATTCCCATTGCCACCTACAGCTGTCAGGTCTGGTCTGCCGGGCGGAAAGGTTCCCATGGCCCAGGCCCTCAGGTGGGTGGCCTTGGAGGTAGTCCTGAGCCTACTTTAAAGATACTTAGAGAAGCAGGCAGAGTTCTTGGAGTTATTCCCCTACCACTGTGGGCTCCAGACATGGAAGCCAGGTAGCCCTGGGGCTCTCTTCTACTCTGTTTAGTAGGGGGCAGTGGTTGCTGATGCTGCAGTCCACACCTATTCTCCCTCCATCTGGTGGACTGAAGTATCACACAGTCTCGTGTCCTTGGACTGCCCTCAGCCCTCAGACTATAAACTGTCTCTGTACCTGGGCAGACAGCTGCACATGGACCTTCTCCTCTGTTCAGCCCACTGTCTGTTCCCACCAACGCTGGGAATAAAACCAGGGCCTCTCACATGCTGAGCAGGTGCTCTATCCCTGAGCCACACCCCAGCCCCTCACTGGGGGAGTCTCGGCAGGTGCCCTACTGCTGAACTATATCCCCAGTCCTCTTTTTACTTTTTGAGAAAGTCTCATTAAGTTGTCTAGACTGTCCTTGAACATGCTATGTAGCCGAGGCAGGGCTTGAACTTGTGATCTTCCGGATTTAGCCTCCTGAGTATCTGGGATGACAGGCCTTCACCCCCATGCCTAGTTCCCACAAAGCCCTTCCAGGACGGGGTCCCTGACTTCCTCTCCAAAGGGGCTCAGCTGTGCTCCAGCCAAGAGGCCTTATGTTGGGGTGTTCCTTATTTCTAAGATGAATTGAAGTCCTTGGAGTTGGGGGGGGGGGAGGCAGTAGTGGCAGACCAGAGCCGAGGGTGTGACACTGGGGAGGCTCTGCATATTCTTCACATAGTA